GCCACTACTCGACTGAGAGGGCCGTCGTCTGCCGGACGTTTCAAGAATGATGCTTAGCGGTGACTGCTGACACGAATTCGTACTATGTCTGTGACATTGACAGTCTACTTTGATATGCAAGTGGAAAGCGATAAAACATTTGGGATGGCTGCCCCCTTCGAAACGTTGACTCCCGTGACAAACTCCTCAAGTAACCGAGAATCACGAGGCCACGGATGGCGCCTTGAGAGTAGCTTGGTATTTATGAAGGCAGATTTTCCTATAAAGCGTCGCCGTCACGTTTTGCAGTTTGGAGAGGCCCACGCAGCGATGTAGACCCAAGTCTAGCCTTTACCTTGCTTTACGCGGAAGATGCGCTTGACAACACTTACTCTCTCAAAGCTCAAAGCTCAGAATGAAGCAACATGCGCTGAGCAGGCCGATTTGTTGAGTTTCTGCTGAAGAATGTCTAGCTGAAGCAACACATCACACGACAGAGTGGAACCGATTTGTGAGCCAGCTTGACCAGCCTCAAAGCTAGATCAATTGCGCAAGCGTCGAGGTCTTAATCTTCAACTCTTGAACTTCTCACACTTTTGACTGTCTAATGTTAGCCATTCGGCTACATAAAACCCACAGTTTTCCAGAGGGAAGCAAGCTCAGAATGCGAAAGAATGCTTCTACCTGTGAACATATCGTTGAGCACGTTGAGGCCTACATTCAAAAAGATAAAGACTACACACTCTCACATTTCCGACCTGACAAGCTTTCGTCGCGTCAATCTAAAATACTACGAACGATGCACTAGCTCTAACAGTTCACGAAGATGGGCATTATGTACTCGACGCCCTGCCAACAGCCTCACTGCTGACAAATAAGACTACCACAACAGATAGTGTTAAGTAGATCGTCCATCGATGGCGAGTGGATCTAGCTTTTCCTTTCGAGGACGAGGCGGTTTGTGAATTGTAGGAGATGTGGATGCTCCAAGTTTGATTGTTTGGTATTTTCAAGTCGCCTAAGTTGTCACGCCTCCGTCAGCAAATATCTCCGTTTAGAGGTAATTTTGCATGGTTTGATTGACCGAAACCTTCGCGAGAACAGAAATAGA